GTTACTCAAAAATAAAACACCAGCCTGTTCAGGGTCTGCCCAGCACATTATCGGGAGGAAGCTATAAAAGCTGCCAACATGGGTTACCTCAAGCATTTTCCTTCTCAAATGCGCCGGGGGTGAGGCACTGCCTTTCCTTCGCTTCCCTGCCTTCCATCTCTTCGGAAAAGGCTTTCTGTGTCCTGCCTGTGTTTATTGACATCCCAGCTTCTTGGCTGTTCCAGCTTCGCTGGAGCGAGTCTCCCTCCTCGCCATTCAAAGTGGCCCCTGTTCCGACCCAGCGCCCATAACGTGCGCTTCCAGACCGCACGGCCCACTGGCTTCTCAAAGTCTGGCTCAGAAACCAAATAAAAAGCTTTTCATTTACACTCAAGTTTATGTGCAGCAGCTCAAAAGCCTTATTTTCATGTCTTACACAGCTCCCACCTGAATAAATTCATTTTAAGTGCCACTTTTCCATTTGTGGATTACAAAGCCGTGAGGAGGTCTGAGGGACAGCCCCCAGGCTCCGTGGGATGCTACAGGGCAGGCTGGGGTACAAGGTGACTGAACTCTGAGGGACCAAGAAGGCCGAAGGATGCCAAGACCCTGGGCAATAAACACCACAGCCCTTGGAAGGGCAGGCCTGGGCCAAGCCCCTGCCAGAGGCGGCTGACCTTCCAGCTTGGGCAGAGTTGAAAGTGTGCTCGTTAGAGTCCTGGCTTCAAGTCTCTGCTCAGCGAGTCCCTAGGTGTGTGTGCTTGGGGCATGGGACAGCCTCTAGAGCTTATTTCTTCATCTGCAAAATGGAGATGACACTTTGGGGACAGGGCTATTGTACTGATTGAATGAGGTGATGAAATATAAAATGCTAACCGCGGTGGATAGCACACAGAAACCCCCAATAGATAGCATCCATTGCCACTAAGATTAATCTTTAAATGTACGGAGTACATACTCCATGCTCCTTTCTCTTTGGACATTACCAGGAAGAGGGAAGTTGGACTGCCCTAAGGATACCACACCCAGGCCTGGCCTCCCCTTCGTCCTTCCAAACTTCAGTGGCTATAATTTCATTAAACGTTTCCCACGCTAGTTGCTGGGTATATGCAAAACAGCCATAGTCCCTGGCCTCCAGAGCTCCCAGTGTGGTAGTAAAATACACAGTCCTAACAAAGGGTGACTTGCCACAATGGCTGTGTGCATACCACGCAGAATAGCACAAGAACAGGAACAGGTGACCCTGCCCGGCGACATCTAGAAATAATGACTGTTGAAAACAATGATAAGACCCTATGTGACCTGGTGGCCTCCACCCTGGCCTCATTTCCTAGTTATCCCTCCTCTCTGTCTTGTACCAGATTCAGTCACACCTGATGGCTCTGCTGGGGTTGCCCCCAACTTTCTCTCTTCCTTTGTTTCTTCCTATCTATCTAGATGGAGTCTGTCTATCTATCTATCTATCTATCTATCTATCTGGAATCCCGCTCTGTTGCCCAGGCTGGAGTGCAATGGCGCAATATCTGCTCACTGCAGGCTCCGCTTTTGGGGTTCAAGCGATTCTCCTGCCTCAACCACCCCAGTAGCTGGGATTACAGGTGTGCCACCACACCTGGCTAATTTTTGTATTTTTAGTAGAGACGGGGTTTCAACCATGTTGGCCAGGCTGGTCTTGAACTCGTGACCTCAAGTGATCCACCCACCTTGACCTCCCAAACTGCTGGGATTACAGGTGTGAGCCACCGCACCAGGCCCCTGCCAACATTCTCACGATTGGCACCTCCACATCCCTAAGGTCTCTGCTCATTTGTTACCTCCTGAGAAAAGCCCCACCAAGGATGTCCTTGTTCCCTCCCCCAGCTTTACGGTTCCTCACTCCAATATCACAATCAAATCTACTTGCTTACATATTTCTTATCCATCTTCCCTACAAAAGTGTGACCTCCATGAGGGTGAGGACTATTTTCTTTATAACTATGACTTCTCAACCTAACAGTACTTGAATCCACAAATTAGTGAGCCACAGTCAGAAGGTGGGCATTCACCACATGTGAAGTATTAGGCTAAGAGTGTCACATACATCAGCATTTCATCCTCACACCCTCTCCAGGCAAGTGTGGAAGTTATGGCAGCTAGGGCTCACTTGGTGGGGGGCAGTGTCTCTGGAGGACAGGTCTAGGTAAACAGGTCCTACTCTAGGGCACCTGATATGAAAGGTTCAATGGTGGCTGGGGGAGACACTGACAGTGCCCACCCCAACCACCAGTTACTCTGGGCCCTGCCCAAGCCCACTGCATAGGAGTCCCACTAGGCCCAGCTGAGCCGCTGTGCTGACCTTTCTCTTTGGACATCACCAGGAAGAGGGAAGTTGGACCACTCTAGGGATGCCATACCCAGGCCTGGCCTCCCCCTTGTCCTTCCAACCTTCAGTGACTATAATTTTGATACACAGCTCCCAGGGATACATCCCAGGATGGATAAAGCTAACGGTCTCTCCTACATCTGAGAGACCTGCCCTCCAGTGTCTGTCTTCCCTAAGGGCCAAGGAGATCAACTGGATGAGAAAGTGCCCAGCGATCCCCACATGCCAGCAGCAGCCAGCATTTACTGAATGCTCATCACACCCCAGGGCCCATGCCAAGGCTCTATATACATTCTCATGTCATCCTTACACTCTCAGTCTGGGTAGTTATGACTCCCCCCTTTCATAAAGGGAGAACCAAGGATCAGAGAAGTTAGTTACTTCCATGCTCACAGGGCTAAGAAGTGGCAGAGCCAGGATTTGAACCCCAGTGTGTCTGATTCCAAGATTCTCCATTATCCACTCTGTTCTGGTGCCTCTAGCCTGCCCACATGAATTCTTCCCTACCTTGGGGTGGCTTCCTGATCATCCAGGGTGCATAGCAGAACACAGCATGGGCACAGGACCAGACCTGGGCTCAAATCCCTCCCTATTCAAATGTGTCTGGGCAGCTGGTCACCCTCTTAGAGCCTCAATTCCATCTGACTGGGAAAGTAAAGGATACCTACCGCAGAGATGTGAGAATAACTGAGATGCATGCCTACCAGGTACACAGCAAGCAGCACAGCCAGCGAGAAGCATCTCTGCACAAGCCTCTGCTGGCCTCAGCTGGCCCTGGCACTTGCTCCCAGCGAGGTCCTGCCCAGTGGCCAGCAAAGGCTGGGTCAAAGCCTCTCTCCAACTCCGAGGAGAGGTACCCCCAGAGGACAAAAATGCAGGGACTCTGCCAGGACCCTCACAGCAGGCTCCTTTCCTCCACTGCTGAGGGTCTCAGAGTTTTCCCTTTTAGGGGGAGAGCCCCTGCTACTGAATTGGGCTAGGCTCAGGCACAGTCTGCAGCTCCTGTTTTCCCACATATACTTTGGAGGGAAAAGATGTTATACATTTATCAGGCACCTGATAGGTGCCAAACTCATTTTAAATACATGAGTCTCAATCCCTACTTGTAGATTAGCGACATCTGTGCACATATTATGGGATATATTAAAGCCTCAGTTTACTCTTCTGCAAAACAGAGATGATGATTTACCTGCTTCCCGAAGTTGTGAGGATTAAATGAGATAAAGAATGTGAAATGCTTATGGCAGTGCCTAGCACATGACAAATAATACATGTTAGCTTTCATCATGTCTCACAGCCAAGGAAACAGACACTAGGAGAGCAGAGAGTCTGCCCAGCATCTCACAGCTGGTAAGGTGATGGTTCAGGGATTTGAACCCAGAGCTTCCTAACACCAGGCCACCTTCCATGCTGACATTTCATCACACCCATCCAGGGACCAGTGCTTATCTGTATTTCAATAGAAAACTATAGCACATCCTTGCAGATTATCAAATTCTAGTCCTGTTCATTGTCTTTGAGCTATTTTTCACCTCTTGGTAAATTACATTTTACTTTTTACTTTCTTACCTACCAGTGAGTTGGGCTGGATCTTGCCATTCTGCACATTTCATCAGTTCTTACCAACTTCTCAATTTTTCTCGTTTCTAGGTTTTCTCCTACCTTTCTGACATCAAGAAGAGCTACAGGCTGACTGCCCAAATCCTTACGGCAACTCTAGGTTGTCTTATAGCTGATCTTCCCCTCAAGATCCAAAGGAGCCTTGCAAGCTGAAGCTGGATGACTTGACATAAACTTCAAAGGACTCATCACCCCAGCAGAGCATGAATCTCCACCGTTCAAATGCCTGACGGTTGGCACCATCCAGCAAGTATCCTCTACTGCCAGGCCCCAATAGACATACAACTGGTCCTTAATGAACAAAAGGCAACTGAACAAAAAATAAGCCTATATTATTCAGAGGAAAGAAGAATTTTTCTTTTCTTGAACAAGAAGAGGCACCAACAAAAACCCTTTCCTTGACCAAACTTAATTAGGCTCTTCTGAGCCTTCTTTGAACCTTGGCCTTCTGTGTCCCTCCTGTCCTTGCCAGGCCCACAGAGCTTCGTCTTAGCAAGAATCCTGCAAATTCAGTTTCGAGAGTCCCCTACCCTTGATGTCTGATAAAGCTTTTCATCCCTACCTTGGATGTATAAGTCCTTGGCCTGCCCTTAGCAAGAGTCCTGTTAGATCTGTTTAGCGAGAATCCCATTCCCTTGATGCCTCCTCTTAGAAACTTCCCATCCACTGACCCCTCCACTCTGCTCCTTGGCTGTAAATCCTCAACTGTCTTGCTACATTTAGAGTTGAGCCCCATCTCTCTCCCCTGTTGCAATAACCCTGTTGCAAGAGTCCTGAGTCAAGTCTTCCTTACCATTTTTACAAGAACCAGAATATTTTTTTTCCTTTAACAACACTCAGGCTTGCTTCAAGTAGGAGGGGCTTCCCTGCCTGAAAATTCTCCATTCATAACCCAGTCAAATACCATCCCCAGATCTCCTCCCATCGCCATCTCCCTCTCCTCCTCACGGCAAGCAAACATGTGACAAGCACGGCACTGCTTTCCCCACCACCATCCTGGGGATCTTCACCTCTCTCAGGCGGCTGCCAGCCCCCCTACCTGCCCTGCCAGCCGTCAGCCCCCAGCTTCACGCCAGTCCATTCACGTAGAGAACACGGCTATGAAAATACAGAAACGCACTTCCCATCTGGAAACGCCTCACAGCTAAATATTATGTAGGATGTGATGGTGTGCGTCTACCAGCAAAAAAGCAAGGCTCAGAGAAACCCTGAGACACGAGGAGACTGCTAGTGAGAGGCCAATGCGTCAGCAAGAGCTAAATTTAGCAATCTAATCCTCTAACTTCATTCTTTCAGGAAAGAGAGCGGTAGGAGAAAAATGAATGAACATATTTAAATGAAAGAACCTTTGAGAGAGCGAGAAAATCCACATCCTAACTGACCTGTTGCTACTTTGCAGAAATGAGCATAGAGAAGGTGACATTCTGGGGAGCTAGCCCTGAGGTCAGTGATAGACAGAAAGGCTCTATCCAAGGAATCAAATCCCCTGGCAGAAGGTCCCTTCAGAGCCGGTGCCTGCATGGTACAAAGGAAGCTGCGGCAAGGGGAACAGATTCTTTAAAACTGGAAGTTCTGGAAAAACCTGTAACACAGCTTTCAAACAGATTCTGCTTTCGAGTAGAGTGGCTGGTATTAAGACACACATCATCTAGGCACTAAACAGCTCCAGGGAGCGTTTGAAAGATGAGGAGCAGAGACAGGGAAGTCACAGACAATGACAGGTGGTGTGTGTGAACACAGGTGTGAAGCCCAAGTTCAAGCTCAGCTCTGCCTGTGACCAGCTCTGGGGGAGGAGTGAAGGGGTTGCCCTGCTCTAGTTGCCACAGCCCTGAAACAAAGGTAATGCCCAGGCACGATGGCTCATGTCTGTTATCCCAGCACTTTAAGAGGCCGAGGCAGGTGGCTCACCTGAGGTCAGGTGTTTGAGACCAGCCTGGCTAACATGGCAAAACCCTGTCTCTACTAAAAATACAAAAATTAGCTAGGCACAGTGGCACGTGCCTGTAATCACAGCTTCTCGGATGGCTGAGGCAAAAGAATAGCTTGACCCTGGGAGATGGAGGTTGCAGTAAGCCAAGATCATGCCGCTGTACTCCAGCCTGGGAGACAGAGCGAGACTACATCTCAAAAAAAAATAAAAAAGAGGCTGGGCATGGTGGCTCACGCCTGCAATCCCAGCACTTTGGGAGGCTGTGGAGGATGGATCACCTGAGGTTGGGAGTTCGAGACCAGCCTGACCAACATGGAAAAACCCCATTGCTACTAAAAATACAAAATTAGCCAGGCATGGTGGTGCATGCCTGTAATCCCAGCTACTCAGGAGGCTGAGGCAGGAGAATCACTTGAATCCAGGAGTTACAGGTTGCGGTGAGCAGAGATCTCGCCATTGCACCCCAGCGCCTGGGCAACAAGAGGGAAAATCTGTCTCAAAAAAATAATAATAATAAAATAAAAATAAAAACAAATAAAAAAGAAAGGCAATGGCCTGGCCGTGCTTTAAGACATGTTTAAGTACTAAGATAGTACTTATTTCTAGATTTATGTGTAAGGAAAGAGGCGGGCAACTTAAAAACTTTTCCTCCTGGAATCAAGCCTTCTGCTTTGATCCATTATTAAAATATTTTATCACACTAGTAAAAACGTATTGATCCTCACAAAGGGCTAATATTTTTAATTATAAACAGAGTCTGTATAAATTAGTAATAATAATACAAGCACACCAATAGGAAAATGAATAAAGGATATGAAAAGCAATTCACAAAAACATACAAACATACAAATAGCTATTAATTATATGAAAAAAAAAAAGTTTGGCCTTACTGGTAACCAGAAAAACGGGCATAAAAAAAACAAGCCCAGGCATGGTGTCTCACACCTATAATGCCAACACTGTGGGAAGCCAAAGTGGGAGGATTACTTGAGGCCAGAAGTTTGAAACCAGCCTGGGCAACACAGTGAGACCCCATCTCTACAAAAATAATTTAGCTGACATAGTGACATGCCTGTAATCCCAGCTACTCAGGAGGCTGACGTAGGAGAACAGCTTGAGCCCAGGAGTTCAAGGCTGCAGTGAGCTATGATTGTGCCACTGCCCTCCAGCCTAGGCAATGGAGCAAGACCCTTCTTAAAAAAAAAAAAATGCCAGGGGCGGTGGCTCACGCCTGTAGTCCCAGCACTTTGGGAGGCTGAGGCAGGTGGCTCACCTGAGATCAGGAGTTTGAGACCAGCCTGATCAACATGGAGAAACACCGTCTGTACTGAAAATACAAAATTAGCAAGGCGTGATGGTACATGCCTGTAATCCTAGCTACTCGGCAGGCTAAAAGCAGGAGAATCACTTGAACCTGGGAGGTGGAGGTTGCAGTGAGCCAAGATCACGTCACTGCATTCCAGCCAGGGCAACAAGAGTGAAACTTCATCTCAAAAAGAAAAAGAAAAAAGAAAGAGGAAACTTTACCCACCTAGAATTTGGCAAAGTCGTAAAAATCCAATAATACCCAGCAATGGACAGGATTCAGAGAATCACGATGCCCCTCACACAACACTAACAGGAAGGCAAAATTAGCATTTCTTTAGGGTCAATTTGGCCACAGCATACAAAAGTTGTTAAATAAACATTTGACCCCATAATTCCACATGCACAAAGATTTATCCGTAAGGTTTTTTGTTTTTTGGGTTTTTTTGAGACGAGGTTTCATTCTTGTCACCCAGGCTGGAGTGCAATGGCAAAATCTCAGCTCACTGCAACCTCTGCCTCCTGGGTTCAAGCGATTCTTCTGCCTCAGCCTCCCGAGTAGCTGAGATTACAGGCACCCACTGCCATGCCTGGCTAATTTTTGCGTATTTAATAGAGACTGAGTTTCACCATCTCGACCAGGCTGGTCTTGAACTCCTGACCTCAGGTGATCCACCTGCCTCAGCCTCCTAAAGTGCTGGGATTACAGGTGTAAGCCACCATGCCTGGCCCTGTCTGTACAGTTTTAACCACAATAGGATTTTATAATCCTAAAAAATTGGCACGTCTTCTATCCAATAAAAGGACTATATTACATACGGTAGAACAGTTGAAACTTGTTACATAAAAGCTAAAAATCAGGCTGTAAGAAAAATCTTAAGATACAGGAAGATGTTTATGTTATGTGAAAAACAGATTCTGAAGCTGTACATATCAAATTTTATTTATAAGCCATCTCTCTTATATATGACACATAGGCACAATGAAGTAAATACCAGGAGATAGACAAAATTATTACCAGTGTTATTTATGGGAATTGGATAGTCATGAGTGGTTTGTATTTCCTTATACTTATTTTTATTTTCAAAGTTCTTTTTTTGCTTGTTTGAGACAGGGTCTCGCTCTGTTACACAGGCTGGAGTGCAGTGGTGTGAACATGGCTCACTGCAGCCTTGACCTCCTGGGCTCAAGCCATCCTCTGGTCTTAGCCTCTGGAGTAGCTGGGACTACGGGCACGTGCCACCAGGGACAGCTAACTTTTATATTTTTTGCAGAGACAGGGTTTCGCCATGTTGCCCAGGTTGGCTGGAACTCGAGATCCACCCACCTCTGCCTCCCAAATGCTGGGATTATAGGTGTGAGGCACCATTCCCAGCCCAAAATTCTTAAACAGATATGTGACTCTTTTGTATTCAGAAAACTCTATATTACTTTTTAAAAGAAACAAAGAAGAAACAGTATCTTTCTGTCTTTCCAACAAGTAAAAGGCACTGAATTAAATACTTCATCCAGAAACGTGCCCCAGGCCGGAGCCTGCCCTGCCCAGCCAGCCTTTTACCAAACTCTTTCCACACCCTCATTCATGATCCCTAAGGAACTTTCAGGCCCTGGGCCGTACATTTTAGGCTTCCTCTTGCCCACTTTTTATCTAAGGTCTACAGTCCGCAATTCATGATGGTCAGATCCGAGCCCAGGTCCTGAGGGTCTTTCTAGCACTTTTCTAGTCCAGCCTTCAAGCAATTGAAAGAGACAAACCACCTTACAGCTATAGAGTGCTGATGGTTCTCACAATGGTTTCAGATTCTCATCGGCTCCTGGGAGCCACTCAGAGGTCAGCAGGGCATGGTCAGCATTCCTGTTTTATGAAAGGGAAAGCAAGTCTCAGGAAGTTGAGGACGTGACCCAAGGCACACACAGAATCAGGACAGGAGCCCAGAGCTGGCTAGCTGTCAAGAGCTCTCTCCAACCAAGCTGTCTGCCGACCCCAAGCTCTCCTCAGCCATTGCCAGCCAGGGAGCTGCAGCTGGAAGGGAACTGGGGCCCCAGCATCCCCACCCCCATTTGGCCAAGGCCATGCCTGTAGACTTACTTCAGTCTATCTCTGCCCATTCATCCCCATCTCTACCCTCTGCCCCTGCTCCCACTCCCATAATAAAAAGAATCAGGGAAATTAGGAGAAGCTCCTCTCACAACTCATTAATTCAGTTAACTATCTAATCTTCTACTATTATCTCACAGGTCAAGTTGTTCTAATTTTTCAATCAAAATTGTGTGGGCTGGTTGCAGTGACGTGTGCCTATAGTCCCAGCTACTTGAGAAGCTGAGACAGGAGGACTGCTTGAGCCCTGGAGTTCAAGGCTGCAGTGCACTATGACCTGATCGTGTCTATGAATAGCCACTGCATTCCAGCCTGAGCAACATAACATGTATGGGTCAGAGCTTGCTCAGCTGTGAGTGATAGAAACTAAAGTCAATCTGGCATAAGTGGGGAAAAAAAAAAAAGGAATTCATTAGCTCATGTCACCAGGGAGTGGCTGGATCTAAGGCTTCAAACATCAGAGCTCTGCCTGTCCTTTCTCCACTTAGTGAGCAGGATATTAATCAACAACTTCACACTCACATCCTACCAAGTCCAGCAGAAATAGACCATCTTCCCTAACAGCTCTGGCAGAGAAGTGCCAGGAAGGACTCAACTGACTCAGACCAGCTGCCTACTCTTAAGGACACAGGGCAAAGGTCAGCCCCATCCAACTCCACAGGAAAAGGTGTTCTCTTCCCAGAGGGAGTGGGCGATAATGGAAAGGAAACCAACAACAGATTTCTACCTAAACAAATCTCTCCTGCTTTAAGATCAAATCCGTGCCTGGCGAGGTGACTCACGCCTGTAATCCCAGCACTTTGGGAGGGCTGAGGCTGGCAGATCATCTGAGGTCGGGAGTTTGAGACCAGCCTGACCAACAAGGAGAAAGGAGAAACCCCGTCTCTACTAAAAATACAAAATTAGCCAGGAGGGGTGCCACATGCCTGTAATCCCAGCTACTCAAGAGGCTGAGGCAGGAGAATTGCTTGAACCCGGGAGGCAGAAGTTGCAGTGAGCCGAGATGGTGCCATTGCACTCCAGCCTGGGCAACAAGAACAAAACTCTGTCTCAAAAATAAATTAATACATACATACATAAAAATGAAAATATGAAATCTGATTTGGGGCACATTCATTCATTGGCAGTGGTAAGCCTGAGTGATACCACAAGGCTGGGTTACTCTGTCACCCCGGCAAAGTGAGTTATTAGCTAACCTTCACTAGAAATGCCCAAATACTACTATCAAAATCTAGGTGATAATGGGTTTTGTTTTTTTTTCCCTAACAGGCAGGGTTTTACTCTGTCACCCAGGCTGGAGTGCAGTGGTGCAATCATAGCTCCCTGCAGCCTCCAACTCTACGCTCCAGCAATCCTCCCGAGTGGCTGGTTCTACAGGCACACATCACCATGCCCAACTAAAACTAATTTTTTTTTTTTTTTTAAGGGACTGGGTCTGTGTTCCCCAGGGTGGTCTCCAACTCCTGGCTCAAGAGATCCTCCCAACTCAGCCTCCCAAGTAGCTGAGATTACAGGCACAGGCCACCCATGCCTCACAAAAATGGGAATTTCCAGTCAAGTTTATTGTGGTGTGATT